TTACAAATTCTGTTGCTTATGTTCTATAGTTTTTTTTCTATTCCCACAAAAGAGATTATCCCAGATATAATCTTTACAAATCTGTTAATACTAAGGAAATTGTACCTCGATTGTGACCTATTATTCATTATATCTAAAAAAAAAGGATGAACACTCAGCAAACAATCATTCTGTCGATTTTTATTTATACCCCCACCCCCGCACCTTTAATGAAAGGAACGTGATGATAATTGTTTATGTTCGTGCAATAATTAGAAACGTTTAAAGATCTGTCATCAACCCACCGTGTACAAGTAGCAAATATTATAAGACATAAGAAAACTAACAACCAGGTTCCTGAGAGGAATGCTTTAGATAAAATGTCGTTATTATAATTGTAATTTGTCAATGAGTTCTTCCACACGTATCGACCACAAAGCGTTACTCATATGTTATGTTATGAGTTTGACTTTCAACAGTCATCAAAACGTTATGAAGTAGCAAGTATTGTTCTAAAGAGAAGGAACAATGTTGTCTAAACGTGACTAGGAAGACATTTAAAGAGGACACACAGAATAAGATAAAAAAAAGTATGCATGATGAAACGTTTAAAACAAAATGAGAAAGGACATGTTGGTAATTTTTTTTTCTTATACATCGGTACGTTTTTTCGGCCTTTTAGAAGATTTTAGCACTCGCGACACTGTTTTTGTGTTTTGGACAAATCTGGTTTTTCAAAAGCGTTGCCTAAAGGAAAATTGGATTCATAACAAAATCAAAAATTATGATAACTAACATTTCACTTAAATATATTTGCCACTATAGGCAGAAGTGCTTTATCGTGTATGAAACTAAACAACTATTCCGTAATATACAAAAGGTAAACGGTGACGTTAAGAGTTCAATTCGTTCATACATTTTATGTAAGTATCGATTCGTCTGGTCAGGCAATGATGCTCATTATCCGTTTGAAGGATTGAGGAATCGAACTTGACTGATCGGTAAACGATTGATGGTAGCTGACTGATCGCTAAAACAGTATCACCTTAGTTTGAAAGTACAACATTGACGGCTAGATTAATTCATCGGTCGATTTAATTGATGCTTGCATAACGTCTTATGTCAAATATTTCCAAGCATTACAATATGTATGTTTGCCAAGAAGGTAGACCAGGATACATTTTACTAGTAACAAACACCAATCTACAATCCGACATGTTTGTCATCACATATAAAACTAAAGACTGAGCACTACGAACTTAAAACCGGGATGATCGCAGGTAATTCGGAAAAAATATATTTCAACCGTCGTGTGTCTGATCGTACGAAGTCGGTAACGGAATGCATTTGGTGATATCCCCATCAAAGAATCATGTATCATGCGTTTGTATAATATGTTATGGTGGTTATATAAAATTAGGTTATACAGCTCATTCCTCTTCTGTATCTGCAGCGCTATATACGTCTAGATATTATATATATATTAGGACCATCAATTGCCTACTTTAGGTAACCTTTAAAGGGAAATCACACTATTGTTTATACGCATCGCTCTCGGCGCCGCTACAGTGTGGTAACGGTATTATGACGTCGCCCTTTTTGAGTCAGTCGTAAAGGTCGCCGATTTCTAAAATGGCGGCCCGCTCAAAGGGACGTTTCACTAAAGCAGGAGAAAGCAAATGACGTTTTGTTTTAAGTGCAAAAATGAAAATGCTACACGAAACAGAAAATTTGTTGGAAGCGGAAAGCAACGAACCAAAACAGTTAAACACATGTATCTTGATGCCGGGAGAGAGGCGTGTTTTCGAACTATATGAAATTAACAAACAGTTAAAGGCAGGTGCGTAGACTGTGGACTTCCGCTTCAGTTTACAAGCGTAACTGAAGAAACAAAGTGTGGTGTAGGGTGCATTCTGTATGTGGCGTGTTCTTTATAGTATTCCTACAAAATAGCAATTAGCAAACTGTGGGACCAGCAAGAAAAATATAAAAAGGCCGCCAGACGTCAGAACAATCTGTAAATATCAAACACTATGCCTAGTTATTTTGGTCCTTCTAATGAAAATTTGCCTGCACCTCAATAAACATGGTACTGTACATATCTTTAATGGTTAAGATATTAGAAGATATGGAATAATTGACAACATCCCACCAGAGACAAAATATCGTTGATCTAAGCTATTACAGGTGTCCATACGGCCTTCAACAACAACAAAAAATCCCATATAGTATATTTGGGTTTACAAGTCTCCAACAAGACAAATAATTAACACACACATGTATTTATGTAGAGTAGCATATCTTACACAGTACTTCTCAACTGTAACCATCACATTAAGGTTCGTCTTGTAAAAGAGTATTCAAATCATAGAAAAATGCGTTCGTGCTGATATTCATGTAATATTTGCTACTGAAATTTTCGCAAAAACCAAGAATACAACGAAAAAACAAATAGTTCAGATGTAGTTACATGTTCAGATCACCCGATTGCAATGTGATCACTTGTCTGTCAACACTGATATAGGGAGAATGTCGGATGCAGATCATGACTGACAAGGACAACCAGTTTTTGAATACAGAGGTAGCCGATTTTCTCTGGATACCATTGATTCAAAAACAAAATGGCCAACATGATATAGCAGAGAGCGCTGAAAGTGGCGCACACAACTAATCAATCAGTTATTTTCAAATTGCTTCTAGACGTTTACCTATCATTGATCATTATTGGCAAACAAATATATATTAAAACATACTGAAACATACATGTGATGAAAGAATATACATTCAAAGAAAAAGAGGTGCGCCAACAGAAATAGAAACTGCAATCTTACTCTTAACCAATTTTTAGTTCCTTCCGAAAATAGTGTCATGAAGGGTTTTTTAACGTGCTGATATAGTGGCATTTTTTTAACACGGCATTTCAGGTTTTATTTCCCCCTTGCGAATGGACAAGGTAGTGAAAAAATTCTGCCCGCGGTCAAACAGGCACGTATCACTATTCAGTCAGGATACCCTGGGTCTTCCGAGGTAGAAGAGTCTTTATATGCAATCCTAGAATAATTTCTTTAATACGGGATGTGGCACGCATTCGTTCTTCCCATACCACAAATGCATCTAAACAAATGAGATGACTTCATCTTTGACAATTACTGTATAATAAACTGTTACTGTATGTTTATAGATTCTATAGATTGATAAAAATATTAATGAATAATCAAAATACCTCAAAAAATGTTCAAACATTATATTATAGTGTATAGTGGAAAGGGTTTAATTCAACACAATGCAAGCGTTGCAAGGAATGCTGCTATGCCAGCAACGTCGTACTATAACGTTACATATAAAAGAAAAAGTTATAGTTCCCGCCAAAATTGCATATTAAGATTATTTCCGTTTTAGCGGTGTTAAAACATCGGTCACCCTCTTTTTATTTATACTTTTAAAATCTTCCCTGAAGCTGCAACTTATGCAGAAGTTTGCAGGAAAAATAAAACATTTTTAGCAATTAAAAAATGGCGGGAAATATTCAAATGCTTTCAAAAATAAGGAAACTGAGACAAATAATTATTTAGAAGGTACAAGTTACATTTGACTGTTATCACAGTTAAACATCTTTGTTTTAATAACTTTGATATTTTTTTAAGAACTTAGAGCGCTATTTCTATATTTTGGAATAACGTGTTTCTTTAAATATTGATGACGTCATATCTCGAAAACAACATCGGTGACCCCAATTTTTTTTTGTCGCTTAAAATTTAATAATAAGTATGATCTGTCTACATGCAAAATTTCATTGAATCATTATTAGTAGAATAAATAGTGTGATTTCCCTTTAAGTGCAAACCTGTTCTGAGTGTTGAATTTTAATAGTGCTTAAAGAAAAGGTTAAGATGTTGAAACTTTTCTTGGCATGAATTATTAAAAAGAACCATGGTAATCCAACCTTCAGATATTCTCAAAACATTAGTATGTCATCACATATCAAAATTTTTTTTTTGTTTAACATTTCAGCTTTTGGGACTTTTAAGTTCTTGGATTTACAACTCATCTCCAAAATTTTGAAATCTTGGAGACTTCATTTTTTCTGCTTTAAATTATTTCCTAATTTTATACGTAAAATACTGAAGTTGTATTAAGATAAGCAGTCTTGATATCTAAGGATTGTTATTATCCCAATGAAGTAACTCTGGCTAAATTGGAACTTTATAAAGGACAATTTTAATTGTTGTATGCTAGTATGAACATAAAGCAGTGTCTTTGGTAACCCAGGATAGTTACATAATTGTCGTCTTTAATTTAAAGTGACGAAATGTCCTACTTTCGCTTCAAAGACCAAACTTTAGGAAGGTGTAAATTGTGCGATTAGACTCGAAATGCCAACAAATAGATCATGTATAAATGTACAGTGTAACACAATAAGTCAATCTAAAATCCAGCTAACTCGATTTTGATGACTCGCATATGTATGTTGAAAATATGTATCAACATTATACAATTGAAATATCAGGATCAACAGAAAACTTATAATATAATTCAACATCTACTACTGTAGCACTCAATAGCAAGACAACAGAATTAGTTTTTTTTGTTCAAAGATTTGTAAACTGTCAATTTTGAATTGGATTGGAGTTCAAAAGTTAATTTTTATTTCTTTTGCAATATATGTAATGCTCTTTTTGTGTAACGGTTTGGTTATTATGTAAACCAAATAAATATACTGTTTTTCAATCATGAAACCTTACGGGCGTAAATTGTCTTTGCCCACTTTAACATTTTTTCAAGATGTATATGCCTCGTTTAATCATGAAAATCATGTAAAATGGCTTTAAGCATGTTTTTTCATTTAACGATGTTCTTTATTCAGCATAACTAGATGTAATGCATTTAAGCCATATTGTTCTTTTGATAAATCATGAAATTACGATGGAATTATAAATGGTCGCGAACATCATGTACATGCGATGTTCTATTTAGACTTAGACACCTCAACATGTAAATCTATATTCAAGAAAAAGATGAAAGGATGTGTAAAAACATTTATCTAAAGTTCATGTATTTCATAAGTAAATGCAGAGTTTGGATAAGAAAGTCTCCCTCTTGAAGTCCAAACATGATTTTAAGGAAAGCCTCGGTACGATAGATAGATAAAGGGCTCTTTGTTTTAATAGACGTGTAGAAAAAAAATGATAATGAGTAATAAAACCTGTCTACTAGTATATTAAATATCAAATTTGCAATTGCCGTAAAAAATGTGAATTTAACTTGGATTGAAACAGTATACCAGACTGAGTATGATATCGATACTATTCGGATTGTAAAGATCTTTGTCTAGCTTATTAATAAACGTGAATTATTAAATGAGAGACAATCTCATAATTAATATCAATAACAATTGTTATTCCACTCGTGTTCATTTAAAGTACAGTAATCTCTAGAACTTGTTCTAATATGGGATGAACAATCATGGAATACTTCTATCGCCTGAAAGTAAAAAAAAAATGTTATTCTCTATAATGAAGCAGTAAAATAATATTACAGGGATTCAAAAACAAAAACAGTTTCAATATTGTTTATGTTTAAGACAAAATACTGATTTTCGTTGTTTATTGTGCATATAATATGTCATATTATACATGTTGTAGTAACTGCTGTTCTTTTCTATTGGATTATTATCAGCATAAGTTCTGGAAAAATGACCATTACAACACAAGTTAATAAAAGAATATTTATTCGTCACTTTATTATATAATCTGTAAAACAATTGTATTATTAACGTGACTTGTATAGGTTGGACTATGTAAATACGGCTGTTTCACAAACCACGCCTCTTTTGGGGAGATATATAATTTCATAGATAAATTGTTTTGTTTACGCACATGTTCCCATATATGATCTCTATGTTTATCTCATAGAGATATAATTTGGGAATGTTATCAGTATAGATAAACAAAGAGAGCGACAGCTTTGAATTCTGAGGAAGACCAAACGTGAAGGTAGGGGTAGTACAGAATGTAAGTACAAGTTTAAACTCTTAGAAGTTCGGGGCATATAAATGTTGAAAATATTCGGCACAGCCCTATATTTTGACCTTTGAAATAAATAGTAGTGCATATGAGCTTTCCATTCAAGGATATACTTTTTTTCGAAACTGCATAGTAAAAGTGGTAAAGTTTAAGCCGTAAAAGGAGTTACTATGGGAAATTGAATTGTCTATATTTACAGAAATGCGACTTATAAAGTACTTCTAGACTCAAAATAAATGTGCATCCATGGAATAACTCCTTATATGTCTAAATGAATGTGACTTCTGTGATTAAAAACTAAAGTGCGTGTAAGCTATCTGAGGCGTAAAGATTACGTTTACTAGTCACTATTAAATGAGTTCTTTTTATTGTTTCGTTCAATTGAAGAGTGAAACGATATATTCATATCAACATTTTGGCCTCGAGCATCGCTGAACAGAAATTTATTGTCGAAATGCGCAACTGGTGTAGAAAAAAATGTACCTTTAATGTAAATACAGCATGTACTACCTTATTCAACTTCCTATTTGTTTTTTAATATAGATCACCTTTTATATCTTTTGTTTTAAACAAGCTTTCTTTTGTCAATAGGAGTAAGCACATATACCACCAATAAAACGCTGAGTATACCGATGAACAAAAGTTAGATAATTTACAATTCATTTCAAGTTGTATCAGTACTCACAAAATACCGTAGGGTAAGCTTTAAATATGGACAACCATCAAAGGGTAGACGAATTCGATTTTACTCTGCATAAATTTGATCCACAAAAAAGAAACTTTTCTGATAATTTTCTAAAACAATTTTAAATTCTTTACAAATGCCATGATAATTTAAAAAAAAAACAAATATTGAAACAGATAACGTGAAAGTTGTTAAATAATATTAAATGTCGGTCCTGGAATATTCAGATAGTTATGGGAAACAGATTCCAAGATTCGTTTTCAAATATTCGACCAGTTGCATGTGTTACAACACAAAAACATTCTTCATACCACAAATTTAAATTTGTTGCTGCTTTTATTTACTACAGTAAGGTTACAAAAGTTGATTATAAAGGGAATTAAAAAAATTACTACCTCTACTTTCCTAAAGGAGATACAAAGATATGCAACCAAAGAAAAGAACTACAATATCTGCACTGGCTTGAAATTAATCTAAGTGTGCGTTAACAAGACATGCATGGTAAGTACCATGACTACGTGTTCAGTGAATTAAAAGAAAACTCTGAAAATAAGTGAACGTATTTGCAATGCATTTATACTCTAAATGGTATCATTTCCTATATAAGTAAAGGCATAATTAAATTGTTATCATCTGAATCAATGCTATAAGGGACTGTTCAATATTTATCAGATGAATGGGCCGGTGCAAAATGGGGCGGGGCAAGCACTTTTTTTGTGGAAATATTTGGATGGGCGAGAAATTGTTTTTACATGTATAGTGGATGGGCCAGAACTTATTTTATAGGAAAAATTTTGCTATCAATTTTATCGGGGTATAGGAAATTTCTTTTGCAGGCACACATAACATAAAAGACATGGTCTCAACAAACTGGTAGCTTGGTTCATTTCTGTCAATTTTAAGGATTAAATTAATGAATACAAAAGCTAGAATTTTCTATTCGGACTAATTTCAGATAGCACTTGGATTTTCATATCAATTGTATTTTGACCTTATAGAATACCAGGTTGTTTGATAGTTTGGTGTATTTCTGTCAAATTTATGGATTTTATTAATAAGTAAGAAAAAAAAAGCTAAAATTTTCAGTTTAGGCTAAATTCAGATAGTCACCTTTAAAATTTTTCATAACTTTTTCAATTCAACTTGGAATTTCATAAAACTGTACACCTATCTCATTCATATATTGATCTTACAGAATGCCATGTTGTTTGGAAGTTTAATGTATTGCTGCCATTTTTATGGATTTAATAAATAGGTTAAAAAAAGCTTAAATTTTCAGTTTAGGTTAATACCAGATAGTCATCTTTAAAATTCTTTATAACATTTTCAAATTAACTTGGATTTTCATATAACTCTACAGCTATCTCATTAACATATTGATCTTACAGAATGCCAGGTTGTTTGGTACTTTGGTTTATTGCTGTCATTTTTATGGATTTAGTTAAAAGGTAAAAAAAAAGCTACAATTTTCAGTTTAGGCTAAATTCAGATAGTCATCTTTAAAAATTTGTGTAACATTTCCAAATCAACTTTGATTTTCATAAAACTCTACAGCCATCTCATTTATATATTGATCTTACAGAATGTCAGGTTGTTTGGTAGTTTGGTGTACATGTATTGCTGACAAATTAAGGGATTCAGTGGCGGATCCAGAAATTTTCATAAGAGGGGGCCCACTGACTGCCTAAGAGGGGGCCCGCTCCAGTCATGCTTCAGTGATTTCCTATATAAGCAACTAAATTTTTCCCACAAAAAGGGGGCCCCGGGCATCCTGCCCCCTTAAATCCACCTTTGGGATTTAATTAATAGGTAAAAAAAAGTTGCATCAAAGTCAAAAACATGTCTGCCTAAATTGCTTTAAAAAGACCATAATTTCTTTCTTGAAAAGTAGAATAGATAAAGGGACATTGTATATTTGAAATATAAGCATGCTGTATTATTAAGACAATAATTGGTAATTCAGCATATGGTAATATGCTTACTAGTCTAAGAGTTATTGTCCCTTAATCTAAATTAGTCCCTTTATTTTAAATTAATATGGTATTTTGAAAATTGTATACAAATTGGATAGTTAGTTAATATTTTTATGATTGTTAACAATAGTTTGAATAAATATTTATATCCTATGATCACAAAAGGGGAAAAGTGATGACTCTCAATTATTTAATAGAATAAAGACGTAAGAAGAGATACATTAAACTGTTTCAAATTTAAGATGACCTCAGATTTCAGAAAAATATAAACTAAGTACATTTAATAGTATGGTTAATATTTCTTCATATGTTTTATGACTTGCAATTTAAGTCTCTATGAAAGGCTGGCTGATATAGTATGCTATAACGTATGTCTTAAGATTCAATTGTGATATTGTATCTGAGGCTGAACATATAACATCAAATCTATACATGTATATTCATACTGGTTTTAAAATTAATAAAATGTATGTTTCTGATACACACATAACTATATATATATATATATATATGTGGAATTAACTAGCACATTTTGAATTTTGTATTCATACACCAAAGTCTATTCATTGATTTCCAGACATAAACATGCAAATATTAAAATAGAAAAAGAACCTAAATCATTTTTGATTGTCTTTCAGTTTTAGAGGGGCAAAGACTCTTTTTATCTAAATGGGCAAGGACTTTTTTGCAGAATTTTAAAGGATGGGCATTAACTTTTTTAATGAAATAATATTAAGAATGCACCGGCCCACCAATCTGGTAAATATTGAACGGTCCCTAAACAACGATGCACATGTAACATTTCAAGTATCATAAATAATTTCATACTTGCTAGATTTGTCAGATCCAATTACATTGTTTAACAGTCCGCCAATTACCATACCAACAGTTAAAACATTGTCAGCCTGGAAAGAAAACATCAGTTAGTGATCATATTGATCTCATTTAAGCCCACATTAAGTAAAAACGATGCAATCACATAATTGATAAACTACTTATCAAGGTAATTATGTAGACTATTACATGCATTAGGTATCTTATCTAAGTTAACGTCTTCATAAACAACAATGTAATGTCCAAAATTATGGAATACACCTACCTTTATTTAAAAAATATAAATGTCATGTTATGTCCTTTTATTTTAAGCATATTATGCTGTGAGTAGTTTGCCAATATTAACATTAACGTGTATTAAAATCATTTCAAATGAAGGCTTGACATTTCAAAATTCAGTCGCCTTCACGTCAAAGCATACGATGCAACTATTCACCCCTTTCTCTCATTTGAATCAATCAATATTTATCATGTTTATCGCGATCGATTACAATTGGTTTTGGTTTTTTAATAGAGAACAAATATATTTAAGCTGACTATGCAGTATGGGTTTTGCTCATTTTTCAAGGCCGTACGGTGACCTATAGTTGTTAATTGCTGTGTAATTTGGTCTCTTGTGGGGAATTGTCTCATTGGCAATCATACCACATTTCCTTTTTTTTTTATAAGAATGGAAATAACAACATTAAAATGCAAGGAAAGACAGACACCCTTATTGTCAAGAATAGTGACGAAGGAAAAAGGTGGCTACACAAACTACCATGCAAAGTTTGGTCAGTATAGTTACTGTGCAAATCAGTTTATAGTCAAATGGTTATATTTCGATGGACAACGCAATGTATCGACCATTGGTACACCTATTTCAACCATGAAATGAAAAACATGAAAAAGGTAAACAACGAAAACATTTGAAAATTTCAAACATTTCCCGATCCTGTAATGCATTTCTTATCTCAAAGATTGGATTCAGCTCAAACAAAAATAAAATATAAGAATGATATAATTATAGTTTTTATGTACACGGTTATACAAACATGACTGAAAACGGTGCAGATGCAACATTACAACAATAGACTGCCGGTCTGACATGGATAGACAAAGTTCTAAGTCACGGAGAAGTCAATCTAACGACTCTAAAATCCAAAAGAAGTTTGAACGACATTATAAGTCACAAACAAATCAATAAAATACATGATTTAAACTTCTGTACGCAAGACACGCTTTTCGTCTTCAAAAGAGTCATCAATGACGCTCGAATCAAAGAAGTCTAAAAGATCCACTTAAGAACGAAGTTGAAGAGCAATCAGGACCCAATAGTCCTATAGCTTTTACCAAATACAGTATTTGAAATCTATGGCCTTGAACGATATACAATATACAACTATTAACCCGTTTCAAAGAAATTGCAAATTCACCGATCTGTCACCAACAACAAATGTCCTAAAAGAAGAAAATAAAACACAACCATTTCGATATAATGATTAACAATATTCTTGGCTTGGGACATGAACATGAAAAATTGTTGAACCAACATTTTAATGTCAATAAATATAACACTAAAAACGTAACAAAAAAAAAGACCTTACATTATAGAGACGTTCACAAAAGGTATTTAACTAATTTATGAGTGTAAACATTTAATGATTATATCACTTATATTCTGACTAATTGTCATGTTTAATACCTACATAGAAGACAGAAAATGAATACTATTAGCAAAGTCACGAATTTTCAAATGATTTTATATTTTTTTGCCTTTCTTTGAAAGTATCTTGGGACTAAGACATTTCCTATGATAATCCTCAATGCTCTTCAACTTCGTACTTTATTTGTTTTTTTAACTGTTTTTGATTTTAGCGTCACTGATGAGTCTTTTGTGGACGAAACGAGCGTCTGGCGCAAATACAAAACTTCAATCCTGGCATCTATGATGAGTTTATTTAGACTACGAATTCTTATATAAATTGAAATTACGATGAAATATTCATACAACTTATGGAAATTATTTTTTTTCTCCAAGTTCTCCAACTTTGAAACAGTGACATTGCTTCATTATTTATTAAAAAATGCTCATTCATGACTATATTTTTGCATTTCCCCTCATATTCAGTCTTCTAACAAGATAAATAAAGTAAAATACACCTTAAAATAAAACAAAAGAAACATATTGATATTGCATTTGTTCGAAGAATACATTTATTCATAGCAATAAGACATAATGTATTTCAAGATATGTGCAATAATAAGCTTCATTAAAACGTAACTTATGTCTATTAATTTCAAAGTGAAGAATTAAATATGGCTTAAATCGTTCAGTTACAAATAAGTTAATTTTGCAATATCAAGGCAAACATTGATTATAAAAAAAATTGTTACTATGATTATGATCGTTACTATATATCTGTTTACTCTCATTTTATCTGAATATTTTAAAATGGTATGCCTACCAACAGCCAGCAGCTGTATTTGAACACGATTAAGTGCTTTTTACGTGGATTGAAACATACATTTCTATTTGATATGCTATGTTGCCGAACAAATGTTTTTGTGTTGTTGTCTTTTAATGTTGGAGTTTCCTTGATCTATAACTCTATATCATTTTTCAATAATACCTGTTTTGATATTGCTTCTCCATTTCGACACCAAGATGCAAAATGTTCACAATTACTCCACAGTACATTGTATTTCAAAGGACCTATCATACCGAGTGCTCTTTTTACAACTTCTTTCACCTAAAATATATGGAAATTTTTTGTTTTTAGAATACAAATATATTTTCTATTTTAGTCTCCAATTCATTGTAGTGTTTATGCTCCAACAAAGTCATGAGGAGGACAGATTAAAAATGACACTCCGTAAATTTTACGGTCACCATCACAAATTGGTCGATCCATACGATGTGTCTTTGTCCAAACTAACTAAGGACATTTTTACCACGTGTTAGATTGTGGTTTGACATTGCGTCGTCTGATCTTTTAATTACCAAACGTGACTTATTCCCGATTGCGACTGTTTTGCTGAGTTTAATTTCGCACTGCTATAAGACGTTTCACGGTACTTTTCTATCCAAAATTCATGTATTTATTTTGATGTTATATTTGTTATTCTCATCGGATTTTGTCAAATGTCTTATCGTTTGTACTTGTAAATCTTATTTTTTCTGTTAGATTCGTGTGTTATGGTAAAGATAATTAATCACCAAGTTCATTAATTAGATTTTAGTTTGGATCAACTAAATTTATACGATATATTTGGTTTACAGTTTGATTTAGAAGAAACACCGACATAGCTAGATAATACTATTAATTAACTTATTACTACCACATTTTATATTAATTAGTATTGTAATTTTCATTGTTATTAATAAATGCTATACGAGTATTATAAACCAAATCTTGAATTCTATCCTAATTCTATCGTAGTGTGGGGAAATTTCAGAAATTCAAATGTGACGTAACTTTTTTTTTGTTTGTTTTGTCTTTTTTTGCGTTGATCTCTTTGGCTTACTCGGCTGTGAATTTTTATGTGCTGGTTTATGTTGCTTTATGTATCAGTTTTTATTCTGTAGTTAGTCACCACTTCGGTTTTATCATGTATATCTATTATATAGTCATTTTTATAAATTTACTGTTTGCAAAAGTATGACTTACTCTAAATACTAAGGATTTTCTTGTCCCAGACATATAACCTTAGCTGTATTTGGCACAACTTTTTGGAACTTTTGGTCCTCAATGCTCTTTAACTTTGTACTTGTTTTGGCTTCCGTACTTTTTTTATCTGAGCGTCACTGGCTAGTCTTGTGTGGACTAAACGCGCGTCTTGCGTATTAAGTTTTAAACCTTGTACCTTTTGTTAGCTATTATTCGTATGTTTCTCTGTCCTATATGTTCTCCCATTTATTTGTATTGTAGTCCTTTCATGTGATGGTGTCATTTTAATGTTATGTTTAACATTGCCATAACAGCGGGAGTTTTGGCTAGCCACAAAACCAGGTTCAACCCACCATTTTTTCCTTAAATGTCCTGTACCATGTCAGGAAAATGGCCATTGTTATATTATAGTTCATTTCTGTGTGTGTTACATTTTAATGTTGTGTTTCTGTTGTGTCGTAGTTCTCCTCTTATATTTGATGTGTTTCCCTCAATTTTAGTTTGTAACCCGGATTTGTTTTTTTCTCAATCGATTTATGAATTTTGAAGAGCGGTATACTACTGTTGCCTTTATTTATTTGTTAAGATTATAAATATAATTATTTTTCGATACATTCTTTTCCAATTCATTAATGTTCTTATTTAAAAACTGTTAAATGATATTCGAGGTTTTAAGTCATTAAACAATTACTCATTCGTAAATTGAAGACCAATAATATTTTCGTTGATACTTGGTTGCGTAGTTTGCAAACAAATCTATGAAAAAAGAGTTGATTCATTAACTCTAAATTTTGGCTCTAACATTCTGAAAAAATATCTGCGACGATCATGACGATGTTGTAAACGTTTGAATTTTTTAACATTTTTTACCTATTGTGTCTGTTTGTTTTTTTTCACGCATCGTTGTCAATATAATGGAATTTGATGCGACTGTCATACAAGTGAGAGGTTTAGCTAGCTATAAAACCAGGTTCAATCCACCATTTTCTACATAAGAAAATGCCTGTACCAAGTCAGGAATATGACAGTTGTTATCCATTCGTTTGATGTGTTTGAGATTTTGATTTTGCCATTTGATTAATGACTTTCCTTTTTGAATTTTCCTCGGAGTTCAGTATTTTTGTGATTTTACTTTTTTGAAAGAAACATTTGTTTGAATTATTTCAGTTTAAAAAGATGTTCACCAATTTCGTCATAAGTGATGTATTTGTGAAGTCCTAAACGTGGGCGAATTTAGTTAAAGCGGGCCGCTGTTATGTTTTGCACATATTGGCAACATTTATGAAATTAACAGTGGCTCCACACTTTGCACACACATATCATGCATATGTTTGCTTTGATATTTTAAAAATACTATATTTTTTACTTTTCAACAAACATTTCAATGGACGCGGGGTTACGCCACTTGTATCAGTATGGAAAAATGCGAAATGATGACAAAATTATAGGAAATAGACGATATATCTAGAATTTTTGAAGCAGATTTACAAGTTTTCTTCATGTCTTATTACACATTGAAAAAAATACATTTAGCAATAAATATACAGTAGATTAATTAAAACAATTGAAGTTAAAAAAATGCACCTTTACTGGGCCGTTTATTAGGGTAACTGGCGGTACAACTTTACCAACGAAATTTTTGTTTATCAACGAAATCAACGAACATTGATATCCAAGGAATACATGTTATTATAAATTATTAAAATTGCTATTTATAGATAGCACTCAATATATTTTTAATTTAATAACATTTTTGAATTGCCAGTTGTATTATGAAAGCTACACTTACTGATTCCCGCCGTCTTTACTGTTATTGATAGTACATTTACTGTTGCCAAAAACATCAAATACGTTTTCTCTCTTCACCTCTGCTTTGTTGAAGAGAACACCACTTACAGAAAATGAATGACTTAGATCAGACGCAATTGGTCCATCAATCCCAGCAACATGAACTACTTCATTATTCCCTAATAAAGAAATATAATGTTATGTAGATACAGTCCTGATAAATCTGGTTTTATCATATCAATTGATTTGCTTAAGAGCATATGATACAGTTTTGATCTCATTGTGATTTTCTCGAAAATTTGCATACAAGCTATTTTTCACATAGTTAATTGAAATATGTAATAAAAATATACCTGTATATGCTCAATTTAACGATAATGGGGTCAATATTTTATCCACATACTTAAAATTTCGGTTTCTTGGACATTTCTATCCTCTGGACAGATAAAATTAACTTTTTTGTTTAAAAAAATAAACACATACGAATTTGTGTAACATGATTTGGAATAGTTCTGTTCAAAAGTTTGCTCTTAATTGTGTAATAATTCTTTGTGAATAATTCGTTTTTATTAAAATTGAATTATGTTAGTGAAAAACGACATTTTTTCTGCATATTTATCTATTTAAAAAAATCATCGGTGATTTTTTTCATGAAATTTGGAACAAATAATCTTCATTTGTCATTTAAAAAAAATCGGGGTCCATGTACTGGTTTTCAAGCTAATTATTAAATCCCTCGAAAAGTGCATCTTTTACCGATATATATCGGTGTCTTCCTGATTGTTTCACTTTCTAAAATTACAAGTAAAAAAGTAATGAAATTTTGTTGGGCAACTGAGAAACTTCAATGTGGGACAATCGGGATTTTTTTCAAAAGCGATTAATTTGATTGCATAGTGTAGAGCAAGTAATTACAGGTAAATACTTAGTAATCAGTGTAAACTATAAAATATGAAATAAAAATGAATAAAAAATCATGAACATTTACATTTTTGATTTTTTACAGAATACATGTAGGTCCAATTGATTGATTGATTGATTGATTAGGGGTTAACGCCACTTTCAGCATACTTGTGTTATTTCGTGGCGGTCATATTTTATTGGTCAACAAAGCCTGAGTTTCCGAAGAACACCACCGACCTTCTGTAGGAAAACTGACAATTCTAGTCAATGAAGACTGCAGTCGAGTGCACTTGCCCCTCGCGGGATTCGAACTCACACTACTTATACCACTGGGCCACCGAGGCCCCCCAGATGCAATTGAAGTATCATCAAACATAGAATATGATATTAAGTAAAGAAAAATACACATATCAAACACTACTGTAAATTCAGAAATTATTGCCAGGTTTTTATTAATGCAAATAATGCGAATCCTTGAGTATCGCAACAAATAAAACTCACATTCTTATATCTCTTAATGTATATCTGTACAAAGCTTTTCCTGAAATCGCATTTTTGTTCATTCTTGAAAAATCGCAATAATAAATGCACGCAATAATTTCTGAATTTACAATACTCAATTATTCACAAAGAGTTACAATTAAGCACACATAATATACAGCTTAATACAAGAAAACCAACAGAATAAACAGCTTTATTCATCAAAGCACACATATGAGATGAAGAAAAATACTACAGAGCACACACAATACAGAAGTTACAACAATAAAGCACACATTATACATAAGTACAACAAATAAGCGCATATAATACATAATTACAACAATAAAGCACACATAATGAATAAAATAAACATCACAACACTTCATATAATTGCAACATAATTAGTCCGAGTGTAACATATAAGAGGCATGTGTTAGCACACTGAAAACCCTAACTTTGACATTCTGAAGACAAACTTCTTATGTAAGCGTTGATTGAGTTTCTTTTCTTTTCTTTTTTGGTTGTACTCTCCGGGCTGGTAGTGAATGATGGTCACTTCGTTTGCTGTTAACTTTCTTAAAAACGTGTATATGTTTGGGTGTGGTACTTAGGTCACCATTTTCAAGCTGCTGTGCCATCCTTCGGGGTGTCGTCATTGATCCTTCGGTTTATTGATGGTTCCATAGTGCATGTTGTGTTTAATCCAGTATGTTGTGACGTGGTCTGTAAACTGATTGATATTTGGTATTGAATTTGAATTTTCCAAGGTCTTCTAGTGCATGGATTCATACGTCTTCTATCTATGCATGTGGTACCAGAAAAAAACTGCTGTCTTGTGTACAAGTTGATGAATGTCTAGTTCTCTTTTATAGTCGATCACGAGTCCGGATGACTGCACTTTACATGTCTTTCTATGTTGTGATGTTACACTATTCTTTCAGATAATGGTAAAGGTTTGGTACCATTAAAACGTTTAAACCCGCTGCAATTGTTTGCACTTGTCCTAAGTCAGGAATCTGATGTTCAGTAGTTGTGGTTTGTTGATGTGATTCATAAGTGTTTCTCGTTTTTTATATAGATTAGACCGTTGGTTTTCTCGTTTGAATAGTTTTACACTAATAATTTATGACGCCCTTTATAGCTTGCTGTTCGGTGGGAGCCAAGGCTCCGTTTTGAAAACCGTACTTTGACCTATAATGTTTTATTTTTATAGATTTTGACTTGGATGGAGGATTGTCTCATTGGCACTCATACTACATCTTCTTATATCTATAGCATAATTTTTGACAGCAGCTTTGTTATAATTGAAGAAAGTTGTTGGGCTCAGGTTAATCTGAATGTGAGTGTCAGCAGTCTTCGGTACTAATGTAAATAATCTTGTAAAAATGGCGTCTGAGATCCCTGGTAAAATTGCAAAGACTAGTGGAAACATCTCTCAATCAACAAGTGCATGTATATTGTACAGTGTAAATAAGCTTATACATGTTTTTAAAATTGCATGCATTATTTGAATCACACTATACAAATCCTTGAAGACTTTAGAAAAAAAATCATTTTAAATTATAGTATTGATATCTGTTTTATGAATAAACTTAACATCAAAGATATATTTCACAATTCAATGTTATATTTTCTTATCAAAAGTGCATAAATCTGATGATATAAAAAAAAGACATATTGTATACTTTTACATAATTTATATCAAATAATAGTGTAAAGATTAATTAATGCATTCTTGTTAATTTAGTAAAACAAACAATAGCTACCTTGTTATTTTTAAGAACAGTTTACTTCATAAAGTAATGTGGGACAATGAGAACTTCTCATGTGGCACAATCAGAACTTTTCATGTGGGACAAGCAGAACGTTCCATGTGGGGCAATCAGAACTTTCCATGTGGGGCAATCAGAACTTTTCATGTGGGACAATCAGAACTCTAAAAATTCAAAATGTGGGACAATCGGGAATAAGCAAATATTTTGCAGTTTGAGGTCGCAAAAAAAACCCTAACAACATATGACGTTAGCAACGTCATTACCTCCCTGTAACTGTATCGTATGCCCTCAAGCATGATCTCAACATTTTGAACAAGTAACATATTAAAAAAAAAAAACTCATTGCAATAGCCATTTTTATTATTTTAGATTGTCGTTTTCAAGGTAAACTATACAGTGCACACATTTCATCGTGATTTAGAGTGCAGAACATAGAAAGACGGTCAAGTATGTGTTTCCAAGGATCAAATGTTCAGGTAGCAACGATTGTATGCTCATTGAAATATTAGCCATGAGCTTTGAAAATAAGATAATAATCAATCCAATTCCTGATAATGAAGTCAAGAAATCAGAATCAGAGACCAGAATGGTGTATAGTTACTTAATCACAGCTACACAAGGATTCGGATCGATTAATGAAGGGCAATTCGTTGTTTTTCAAAATATATACAAAAACATCAGATTGTATACTTTTTTAAGGACTTAATTTTATTCCTAGTTCTGTTTCTAATTTATGTACAAAAAAAATGAACGAAAAACAAATATGTTACACAGCAACAAACAAACGACAATCACTGAATTACAGGCTCCTCACTTGGGACAAGCACAAACATAATGTCTTGCATATTGTACGTATTCCCATTTGTCGAGCAATAGTTTTATTGTGCAAGACCACTAGGACTTAAGGAAAACATTTCACTATTTTAGGGCCAATGAATTATACCTTTTTAGTGGTTCTAGAGAAAACTGTTTAATAAAACAAAGTTTGTTAACACATGTGAGAGCTTAAAAAGAAAGGACAATTGGAAATCAATAAGACCATATCTCCATTCACCAAAGCATGACACATTATATGAGAAAATAGAAATCACATAAAACAAAGTAAAAACACTAACGAAGTATAATTAAACGAAATCAAATGAAACAATTATGAAATATATTATATTTTACTAAAAGGATAGATAAGTGTAGCTGTATTTGACATAACCTTTTGGCATTGTGGTCCACAATGCTCTTAAGTTTCATACTTTATTTGGCTATTTACATCTTTTTGATTCTAGTCTTTTGTAAAAAAAAATACGCGCCTCCGGAATACAAGTTTTTATTCCTGTTATCTATGATGAGTATATTTACTGTAACGTACCAATGTAAACTGCCCAATGACAGTATGCTCCGCGATCAATTTCTAACAAATCTCCCTCTTCCACCAAAGTTTTGATTGGATTTGGCAAAGTTTTTTGAGCCATTATCTGCAAACAGAGAATACATTTCAATTTTCGATTTACTTTTAGAAAAATGCTATCGATCAAGTACACCTTATTAGACTGAGGATGAAACAACCCATGACAGTTTGAGCTGGTGTTAGTCACATGTTTCTACGCAATTCAATAAAATGTAAATTATTGCGTGGATATAATATTACGATTTATGAATAAAAGACAAAAAATGTCCCCAACGATGACTGGATATTCCCATGTATTCGTTTATGTGGTTAATTAACTAAGCAGCTGATAAAAGTAGACCTTTAACATGCACCACGAACGTTCAAGCATTATAATTTAAAAGCAAGGTATCCTTTGAATCACATACATTTTTACATTATATGATGTATATTTTTTCTACTTTTTAGGAAGGGAGAGTTCACGTTTGAGTAATTTTTAATTTCTAAAAAGGAATAACAGGAATTAATCTGAAAGTACCACGTCGTACAACATCAATATATTACTGCATGAATTTCAAATTAGAAAAGTCTTCTTTGTTTATTAAATTATAATTAACAATCATTCGAAGCTCCTTTTTCATTGCTGTTATTTAATCTAACATGTCAGATGTAAACTATTGCGTGGATGTAAAATTATGATTTATGAAGAAAAGACAAAAATGGGAGATTATTTATTGCGACATTCATCAATCCAATTATTCGCACCAATAATATCCTCGCAAAAATTTCTGAATTCACAGTATTTTGTTCAGATATTGTTCGATTATAATTGTCCTAAATGGTTTACTTGTGTTAGCTGCTACAGATACCAAGGAACGATGCCCTCAGATTAATGAAATATATATGAACCGAAATTGTCTGTTGTAGAAAGAGCTGATCAGTGAAAGAGGCAAAATCAAAGGAAACTTTAATTTTTATTAGAATATTAGAATCTTTACATTATCATAAATGTACCAATAACTTGTGAGACAAGCGTAGGCTTTCTCAATGAAGTCGACACAAATCTTGGGAACTGTGCGATTTTAAACATCATCCATTTCTCATTGTGTCAAAAAACAACAGAAAAATCTAACTCGCTACTATTAAAAATAATAAATCTTCTACAGTGCAAAGGTGAGGTTTGAATCAAAGTTTTCTTTTAGAAATAGAAAAGAAAACCTTTTAAGTATTTTTGAACACATATGCTAGTGTTATTCTCCGGTGATGAGAAATGTCTTGCTTCAGTTTACCTCAGCATAAAACTATTCTCAATAATCTTTTATGAAAAAAATACAGTTTTCTTTTCATGAAAGTTTTGTTTTCTTTTTGCTCGAATATATATGTATATATTATGCAATAAAACAAACTAATGAGTATTATTTTCGGTGCATGTACGATGATAATCAAAGTCTTGGATTCTATATCAATGAAATATTTTATTTTGTTTTTATACTGACAAGTAAGAATAGATTATTATTACCATAATCGCGTCTGTTTGAACAAATGTGACTTTAGCTTAAACACATTTCTTTGATTAGTTCTCCTTTAAACAAAAAAAAAAAGATAATTCATCTACATACCAAGTTAAACTTTTGGTGTAAAATGTCACCTTATGCTGTATGAATTTCAAATTGTAAAACACGTCTTTGTTTATTAAAGAACAACTGTCAATTATTCAAAGATCTTTTAGTTTTTTTTTAAATTACCAACTAGCTGTAAACTAAGATGGTTTATCGTATAATAAAATATTGATTTGTTTTGATGTACGAGCTCTTGTGTTGTAGTTAAAAGTTTCAACTTAAAATATTCTAATAAATGTACATGTGACTTGTTAAATATAGGTTAAACTAAAATCGATTTTTTGGCCTATACATTGTCCTTAACAATGACTGCATATTCCCATGTATTCTTTTATGTGGTTAATTAACTAAGCAGCTGATAAAAGTAGACCTTTAACATGCACCACGAAAGTTCAAGCATTATAATTTAAAAGCAAGGTATCCTTTGAATCACAAACACTTTTACATTATATGATGTATATTTTTTCTATTTTTTAAGAAGGGAGAGTTCACGTTGTTTTATCCGTTTAAGTTATTTTTAATTTGTAAAAAGGAATACCAGGAATTAATCTGAAAGTACCACGTAGTACAACATCAACATATTACTGCACAAATTTCAAATTATAAAAGGCTTCTTTGTTTATCAAATTATAATTAACAATCATTCGAAGCTCCTTTTTCATTGCTGTTATTTAATCTTACATGTCAGATGTAAACTATTGCGTGGATGTAAAATTATGATTTATGAAGAAAAGACAAAAATGGGAGATTATTTATTGCGACATTCATCCATCTTATTATTCCCACCAATAATAACCTCGCAAAAATTTATGTTTTCACAGTATTTTGTTCAGATATTTATCGATTATAATTGTCCTAAATGGTTTACTTGTGTTAGCTGCTATAGATACCAAGGAGCGATGCCCTCAGATTAATGAAATATATATGAACCGGAATTGTCTGTTCTAGAAAGAGCTGATCAGTGAAAGAGGCAAAATCAAAGGAAACTTTAATTTTTATTAGAATATTAGTATCTTTACATTATCATAAATGTACCAATAATTTGTGAGACAAGCGTAGGCTTTCTCAATGAAGTCGACACAAATCTTGGGAACTGTGCGATTTTAAACATCATCCATTTCTCATTGTGTCAAAAAACAACAGAAAAATCTAACTCGCTACTATTAAAAATAATAAATCTACTACAGTGCAAAGGTGAGGTTTGAATCAAAGTTTTCTTTTAGAAATAGAAAAGAAAACCTTTTAAGTATTTCTGAACACATATGCTAGTGTTATTCTCCGGTGATAAGAAATGTCTTGCTTCAGTTTACCTCAGCATAAAACCATTCTCAATAATCTTTTATGAAAAAAATACAGTTTTCTTTTCATGAAGGTTTTGTTTTCTTTTTGCTCGAATATATATGTATATAATATGCAATAAAACAAACTAATGAGTATTATTTTCGGTGCATGTACGATGATAATCAAAGTCTTGGATTCTATATCAATGAAATATTTTATTTTGTTTTTATACTGACAAGTAAGAATAGATTATTATTACCATAATCGCGTCTGTTTGAACAAATGTGACTTTAGCTTAAACACATTTATTTGATTAGTTCTCCTTTAAACAAAAAAAAAAGATAATTCATCTACATACCAAGTTAAACTTTTGGTGTAAAATGTCACCTTATGCTGTATGAATTTCAAATTGTAAAACACGTCTTTGTTTATTAAAGAACAACTGTCAATTATTCAAAGATCTTTTAGTTTTTTTTTAAATTACCAACTAGCTGTAAACTAAGATGGCTTATCGTATAATAAAATATTGATTTGTTTTGATGTACGAGCTCTTGTGTTGTAGTTAAAAGTTTCAACTTAAAATATTCTAATAAATGTACATGTGACTTGTTAAATATAGGTTAAACTAAAATCGATTTTTTGGCCTATACATTGTCCTTAACAATGACTGGATATTCCCATGTATTCGTTTATGTGGTTAATTAACTAAGCAGCTGATAAAAGTAGACCTTTAACATGCACCACGAACGTTCAAGCATTATAATTTAAAAGCAAGGTATCCTTTGAATCACAAACACTTTTACATTATATGATGTATATTTTTTCTATTTTTTAAGAAGGGAGAGTTCACGTTGTTTTATCCGTTTAAGTAATTTTTAATTTGTAAAAAGGAATACCAGGAATTAATCTGAAAGTACCACGTAGTACAACATCAACATATTACTGCATGAATTTCAAATTATAAAAGGCTTCTTTGTTTATCAAATTATAATTGACAATCATTCAAAGCTCCTTTTTTATTGCTGATATTTAATCTTACATGTCAGATGTAAACTATTGCGTGGATGTAAAATTATGATTTATGAAGAAAAGACAAAAATGGGAGATTATTTATTGCGACATTCATCCATCTTATTATTCCCACCAATAATAACCTCGCAAAAATTTATGTTTTCACAGTATTTTGTTCAGATATTTATCGATTATAATTGTCCTAAATGGTTTACTTGTGTTAGCTGCTATAGATACCAAGGAGCGATGCCCTCAGATTAATGAAATATATATGAACCGGAATTGTCTGTTCTAGAAAGAGCTGATCAGTGAAAGAGGCAAAATCAAAGGAAACTTTAATTTTTATTAGAATATTAGTATCTTTACATTATCATAAATGTACCAATAATTTGTGAGACAAGCGTAGGCTTTCTCAATGAAGTCGACACAAACCTTGGGAACTGTGCAATTTTAAACATCATCCATTTCTCATTGTGTCAAAAAACAACAGAAAAATCTAACTCGCTACTATTAAAAATAATAAATCTACTACAGTGCAAAGGTGAGGTTTGAATCAAAGTTTTCTTTTAGAAATAGAAATGAAAACCTTTTAGGTATTTCTGAACACATATGCTAGTGTTATTCGCCGGTGATAAGAAATGTCTTGCTTCAGTTTTCCTCAGCATAAAGCTATTCTCAATAATCTTTTATGAAAAAAATACAGTTTTCTTTTCATGAAGGTTTTGTTTTCTTTTTGCTCGAATATATATGTTTATATTATGCGATAAAACAAACTAATGAGTATTATTTTCGGTGCATGTACGATGATAATCAAAGTCTTGGATTCTATATCAATGAAATATTTTATTTTGTTTTTATACTGACCAGTAAGAATAGATTATTATTACCATAATCGCGTCTGTTTGAACAAATGTGACTTTAGCTTAAACACATTTATTTGATTAGTTCTCCTTTAAACAAAAAAAAAAAAAATAATTCATCTACATACCAAGTTAAACTTTTGGTGTAAAATGTCACCTTATGCTGTATGAATTTCAAATTTTAAAACATGTCTTTGTTTATTAAAGAACAACTGTCAATTATTCAAAGATCTTTTAGTTTGTTTTTTTTTCTAAATTACCAACTAGCTGTAAACTAAGATGGCTTATCGTATAATAAAATATTGTTTTTGTATTGA